TTGGTTGCCACAGACCCCGTCAGGCTGGCCCAGCCCTGGTGCGGGACCCGCTGTCTCCGTCCTGGGGACCCCCGGGATCACAGGGCTGCCTCAGCCTCCCCCGGTCCCTGGTTTGCAGTGACAATGACAAAAGTGATGCGGGTCGGTGTAGCTCTTGCACGCCGGGGTGACAAAATGACTCCTTTGTGCCTTTTTGAAGTTGAAGGGTTTTTTTCTTGATCATGCAACTTCTGAACTAAAACCCTGCAGGTTGTCTCCAGCCACTTGGGTAGGAGGATAAAAGCCGTGTTCTAGATTTTTATATGGTTTGCAAGAAAACGTGATTCTGAGGGGTTTTTGAAGTGCTCCGTTGGTCCCTACCCAAGATCTCTGCCATGCTCTTCCCTGACCATCGAGACAACCTCCTTTCCTGGCCAGGGCTGCTCTTGAGGGCTCTTCTTTGGGGTGGTCGCACCCAGAGCTGGTTGTGTGACAAGGAGCTCCCCTTCCATGAGCCCCGCTCTTGCAGGAAGCAGCTAACGAGCAGTTTCTGCAGGGATCCAGGTCCCAGCAGCCATTGGAAATCTACATGTGACTTATATAAATTAAAGTTTGTGTGAAATAACGGGTTGGGGACTCTTGTATTGGTCTCTGGGGTTGCCTGAGTTTTGAAGGAGTTACTTTCCTGTTATCCTTTCAAAAAATATGAGTAAGTGTTCTTATACCTGCTTAATTTTAATACCACAGGGAAACAATTAAACTCTTGTAAAACCTGTGCTGGCTTGAAAGTGCCAGATCAAAGCTCCTGGTTTAGGCTCGTCCTCAGTAATTCGTGTGGGTGAAAGCTCAGGGCTGAGGGCTTGGACAGAGGGGCTGCAGCTGCAGCCTGGGCTCTGCCAGGTGCTTCTTGGTGCTCCAGAATATGACTGTTCTCTATGGTAATGTGTTTTATAAATTGCATTAATGAAATTCCTGAGAGCGTGTGGGTGTGTGAAATGCTGAAAGATTCCCTGATTCTGCAGAAGTGGGCTGTTGGGAACCTGTGAACTTTGTTGAAAGCACTAGGTAGGTACACCGAGGAGTAAGATACGCGGTGTGCTTAGCTGGTAAGGGCAGCCTGGTGGCAGCTCCTACCACAGCTCATTATAGAACTCTCTCTTTTTTTTTTGATTTGGAAAAACCCAGCAGTGATGGAAGCTCTTTTTCTTCCACTCTTACCAAGTGGTGGAGCTGAAATGGTGGATCTTGGCTGACCCTCGCCATGGCAGTGCAGTTGGAGGTGGTGATACCATTCAGGTGGCACTGGGGACATTGGTTCCAGGTCTGGGGTCTGTGAAACAGCGGGCAAACGGCGGTCTGGAGCTACAGCCTGTTGTGTAATCGCTTTTATTCATCAGTCATAGAGAACAGTAGGAATCCTTCACGTATGACATGATTTTCAGGGTGACTTGTGATTGAGTTTAGCTGAATATAGACTTTTTTCCCCCATTTTTCTCTTGGCGTACACAAGTTTCATTCTGTTTTTAGTTCTACTCTCAGGACATCAGAACGGTGCCTCTGTCTGCTCTGCCCCAACGCCTGAACCACCTTGGACAGCTGTCAAACCAGCTTTGACAGAAGTTCTCAAAAATAGCAAGTTCTCTAGATTTTAATGAAAGTAGACCAGGAGAAGACAAGGAACTGTGAGAGGAAAAAAGAGCTTTTATTAGAAACTGGAGAATCCCCACTAGGAAGAGGTGCTGGCTCCATAAAGCTGGTCCCTGCAGGAGCTGGGCTGTCTGCCGTCCTCTTCATCTTTCTCCTGGCACGCGTACGGTATACAAACGCATGAGCTAAACTGCCATGTTGGCTGCGTGTTAACAGCATCTGTTCCTTTTTTATTATTATTTTATTAAATGAAGTTTCCCTTGTTAAATTCAGGTTCAAAATCTCCAAGCCTTGGAACGGTGCCTTTAAATAAATAAAGCCAGATCCTGTACTGACTTACCACCTTTCTCCTTCCTCTTTTTCCATGGGGTTTACGGTAGCGTTTCTATTGGGCTTTTCTTCAGAGCTGAACCTCCTTCCACTTCTACTTCAGCTCAGAAGTGGAGTCCAAAGCCACTGCAGTCCACGTGGTGACAGTGACCTGTGTTAGGTCCCGATGTGGGTCTTGCTTGGACCTACACTGGGGGTACGCTGCAAGGTTGTCTACAGGAGAAAAGGACAGTGGGTAGTGAGGAGAAAATTATTTCAGCCTGTAGTTTACTCTCTGAACCAACATATAAGAGAGCAATGAGCTATTAGGCCACGAATTGAATGATTTATTTTTTTAAAAATCATTTTAATTTTACTTTTCTGGTGAGGTGTATGTTGCCTCGCTCATCTTACACGTAAGGAGGTCTATGTTTCTCAATGGATGCAGTGCTTTTACTGGATTTTAGCCTAAATGCCCTTAGCATCATCTGAGGAAAAACCTTCTGAGCTATAATTAGACACTGGCTTTTGTGATTTTTGGGAGGGTATTAATGGGCTCCCAGTAAAACTTGGGCAATGAGCTATTACTCGAAGCCTTAAAGAGCCATCTTTCAGGGCCACGTAAACAAGAAGTGATTCTCATGTTGGTGCAGTGTCTGTGAAGGTGTTCCTCTGATCCTTGTGCAAAATGATGCTGTACCTCACAGGAGTGAGGAAGCAGGGATGGCTCCATGAAGGGGTTTGCTAGCTCGTGAGCCAAGTGCTCATATCTGGGTGACAGCAGCGCAGAGGTTTGTCCTGTTCATCCTGGTGACGAAGGGGTGTGTGTCACTGTCCTGCTGCTGCTGAGGAGAGCTAAGGAAGGTGCAGGTTCATTTGAGATCCAGCCCTACTTCTGCTGCCTTATGCAACATTTCTCAAACTACTCCCAGTGTAACTTTGAGCTCTTCTTGTTTTCAGACACGTGTCTCCCCCTCAGCTGTTGCTTGGGCCCAGCTAACTACCCCTGCCTGCTCAAAGCACCTCTGTGCCTCGGGATGGGGCACTGGAAACGGGATTTATTTATTACCTGCAGATGGAGACGCTCAGCCATCGGTCCAGCTGAGCTGATGCCAACAATAACTTGGGTTTAGTCTTTTTTGTTGTTGTAAAATGCAAAAGCTGCCTTCACAGAGCTGGGCTTCTCTCTTCTTCCTCCTTCTGCGGGTTCTTAGGGGTGCTCTTCAGGTCAGGAGATGCCAGGGTATGACATGTGGGTGCCACTGCTGGCAGGTGGGACCCGTCCGTGCAAGGGCTGGCTTTGCACCTACAGCATGCCCAGGGCTCTGGGGGGGGCTGCTTACATCCCACCCTGCTCTCTTGCAGGTGGAAATGGACAACCTCAGACACAAAGAGGGCTGCAGAGCCCGGTCCCTTCGTGGTGTAAGCTACAGCACGTGCTCTGAAACAATTAAGGACTTTTAATAAGAAATAGCACTGCCAGGAAGAGTGTTTGCCACAAGGTGGGATTAGGAAAGAAGAAGGATGTTGGTCTTTCTCACAAGAACTGCTAATTTAGAAATTGCCAGGTGAAAATGCCCGGAATCTAATTTAAACCGCTAGAAAATCACTCTAAAAGTGATTCCCTCCCTTCCAGTGGAAGGGAAGACAGTTGTGGTGACCTCTCTCCATCTGACCCGGGGGTTTGAAGGGGCGTTTGCTGCTGAAGTCTGCTCTCCTTCAACACGTGCCCTTTGTGTTGTGTAACTCAGGACTAAAAAGTCATTAAGAGCTTCCCATCAGGCACACTGAGCTACCAGCTGAGGGAAAGAAATTAAGTAACTGACTCTAACCTGGATTTAGGCTTTTGAGGGATTTAGCACTACTTTTTCTGCTTGTGTCCTTTAATTCAGATAAAACCTTTTCCAATCAGTGTAAACTTTGAAAGTTTCCAGTGTGCTTGCCTTCCTTGACTAATTTGAAGACAGTTAGATGAGGTGTCTCTTGGTAGCTGAGGAAGCAAATTCCAAGGCAGCCTTTGCTGTGTATTTATTGGAGAGAATGTGTCCTAGCAGGATGATGCTCTGCTCTAGAATGACCTGTGGTTGAGGTGGGGTGATTCTCTGACCCAGAGGGAAATACCATGGCATGCTGCAGGCTGCCCCAGCTTCCTTCAGAGCCTGAGCAGCAGACATCTAGAACATCTCTAACATGCCATGATTGAAACTTGAAATGGTTGTAAGCTTCAAGTTGTGTTTTGAGGCAGTGTCCACTGAAGTAAAAGCCTTCCCAGTTTTTCCTTTATCAAACTATATTGGCAAGGAAACAGTGTAAGCTTCGAGTTAAGGAGAAAGACCCCCCCAAAGTAAGTAATTTCTTTAAGCAGTAGAATTTTTTTCTGCACGAAGTTCTTGGTGACTTAGTGTGGTTGAGTTCACATTCTTCCTTGAAGATTCTCTGGTAAGGATGCTTCCATGGAATAGTTGCTTCTTTTCACAATTTTTTTAAAGAAAAAAAAAAAAACAGAAGAAATTTGTCCTTGTGTTTTCTAGACCTCTTTCAGATTTAGCTGAAATTGGCCAACCAATTTGAGTGTGACGGGGTCAGAGAGAACCATTGCTTTGTTCTGGAATGCAGTCAAAAGTTGTGGTTTTTTGAAAAATCATTTTAGCAGAGACATTTGTTCTCAATTTCTCCTTTTTATTCTCCCCAGGAGGTGATGTTAAGTGAAAGTTCAGGGTATGAGGCAGTGTGATGGGGGGAAAAACATTTTTCTTCTGACTTTGCACTGTCTTGTTTTGCTTGAGAGAAAGGCACATGTTCTTAATTATCATGGGGTGTGCTGGGGTTTGTGAGGAACTGTAAAATGGGAAAGCTGGAGTGACTGTAGTGGTGAACGGAGCATGTGACTTCTTATTTATGGAACGCTCTGCCTTCATTAGGGAACAAAAACACCAGTAAGCTAATTTGTACCAGGTTTGGTTTTGGGGTTGGGGATGTCGTGTTGGTGTAGCTGCTTGAGAGGGATGTGCTGTGTTAGTGCACAGCCCCGTTATCTTGTCAGTGCATCTCCTGGTCCTTGTTTTCATTTAGACATTCCTCTGCTAGTCTTTATCATATGAATCATAAATTAACACATGGGCAACCTTAGCAGGCTTTGCAGATAGTTAGTTAAGAGATCTGGCTTGAAGCCTGTGACGTGTCACTGTAAAAGGGAGATGGCTTTAAACTGAAAGAGGGGAGGTTTAGATGAGATATTAGGAAGAAGTTCTTCACTGTGAAGGTGGACAGACACTGGAACAGGTTGCCCAAGGAAGTTGTGGCTGCTCCTCCCTGGAAGTGTTGAAGGCCAGGTTGGATGAGGCTTTGAGCAACCTGGTCTAGTGGAAGGTGTCCCTGCTGCTGGCAGGGGGGTTGGAACTGGATGAGCTTTAAGGTCCCTTCCCACCCAAACCAGTCTATGATTCTATGTGTGATGTTTGCAGCCGGAGAATGCCGGAGGAGAGCTCAAGGATGGGCAGCACCACTATGAGGGAGCCGTCGTCATCCTCGACGCCGGAGCTCAGTACGGGAAGGTCATCGATCGCCGGGTGCGTGAGCTGTTCGTCCAGTCCGAGATCTTCCCTCTGGAGACGCCAGCCTTTGCCATCAGAGAACAAGGGTTTCGGTAGGTCCTTTCCTGCGACGCCTCTGCCCCGCTGTTCTGCTTGTTCTCTCCGTTCTAACGGTACCTTGTACGGATGGTGGCAGCAGTGGTAATTATTTGGGTTTCTATATGCAATAGCTTTCGTTGTAATGATGTTAATGATTTCATCTTTAGCTTATCCACAGAAACACCTGAGTTTTCCTGGGGAAACTTGTGCAGCGGTGGAAATTTTGTATATTTGCTTCTTAATGTCATTTTAGTCGTTTTCATTTGCAAGTGTAATTTAAGAGGTTGTGTGTTAAATACATACAACAAAATTTAGATGGTCTTGATTTTGTATATTTGCTTCTTAATGTCATTTTAATCGTTTCCATTTGCAAGTGTAATTTAAGAGGTTGTGTTAAATACATACCTGCAAAAATTTAGATGGTCTTATTGTTTTACCTGTTAAACTAGGGTAGCTATTAATCAGGAAAACAAGTTTTGTGATTTTCTAAAAATTCTTTTCTTAGGTTAATTAAAAAAACCCCACACCTAACTTGAAGATATGATGGTAAATCATGCCAAACTTATTCTGGAAAGCAACTAAAAAAACCTAACTGAATTTACCACTCATTGTTTGCAGCAAGAAAAGGTCTCACAACTATTTAGTATTTTATAATTTCTTTTTCTTGTTTTATTAGGCTTACCAGGGTATGCCTCTCTTCTGTGTGGGGAAAATAAATACCCTGAAGTTTACAAATCATCAAAGACCTTACTTGTCAGTTGGGTACAAAGCCAGAAAAACACTTCACATGTGCTTCTTGGTTGTGCTCGACAGCAGATAAAACAGTGCTTTGTTGCAGAATTGCATTTTTCTAATCAAGGATAATTAGTGAACCAGTAAACAGTATATTTTAGTGAGTCAAATAGGAACTTATTGATCTCTTCTGAAGGGACAGAGAACAGAAAACCTGGGGTCTGCTGTATCTATCAGGGAGCTGTTGTGTGAAGAATTTCTCTTTCAGCACTCTTCTGAAAAATACCTTCTCTTGTCCGATCTTGTTAATAATTTCCAACAGTCAAGTCTTTAAAAGATGGACATACCTAATTACTGGTTTAAAAAGAATTCCTGCGTCTCCTGTGTGGTGGATTTGAGGTGCAGGTCATAGCACTAATGGTGTTTTGTCTCAGACCTGCACTGTATTGATGCGGGTTTGTAGTGGGAAGACCTTTTCCCCCTTTTTTTTGACAGTTGAGGTTTCTTCAGAGTCTCATGATTAGACCTGTTGGACTTGTCATTCCCAGTAACTGCTCTCTAAAATGTGGTGAAACCGCTTCATTCAAAAGGTCACTTCTCAAGGTGAAGGTAGTGTTCCAGGTTATCAGTTACCCAGCTTGGTCAATAAGCTTTGTGTCCACAGTCTCCGTCAATTGTTTGCGTTCAGGAAAGCTCAACAAACACTGACGCCAGCCTTGGGTGCCTTTATTCAGTGACCACTGTAAAAATGAGCTTGTGGTTTTACTGAAAGTTTTTGTTACATATCCCGCCTGTCATGGGAATAGTCAGGTTTCCATGTTGCAGCTCATGTGCTGAACGGGCCGAGGAGCTGCGCTTCGCTCTGCGCTGAGGTCTGAGATGGGCAGCAAGGTCGAATGTTTTGCTAAATTGTATTTACATGTTATCTTTAAAAAGCCAGCTCCACAATTTTCATAGTTTCAGAACAATCTCTAGTGACAGGTTTCATCTAAATGTGGCATAAACATTAGCAGTTTGCACAAGATCCCGGTCCTGGTCCGAGGAGATGCCGCAGCCGGGGGCTCTGCCGGCATTAGTCTGACTTCTGGCTCTGGCGCCGTGCTGAGGTTGGGGTATCAATGCCTGCATTTTGCTCTTGGTGTTTTGACGTGGTTCCTGATGAGCCTTTAATCCATTGCAAATAGGCTTTCTAAAGCTGGGTCAGCTTGTTTTGGAAGTGGTTTAAGGTAAACCAGAAATATTCATACCAACACAGAAGGTATGTAAGAAATTACGAGGTGTTGCAGTAAAACTTTCAAAATCTGCATCCCATACTAGCTTTAATTTCTCCTGGACAGTTGAGAAGATGTAGGTTCCTTTCTCACCCTCGGTTTATAATTTTATTTTTTCTTTAATATTTGGGCAGATTGGGTAACCTTTCTGTGTTCTGTGCAATTTTAATTGGTATGGAAAAAGCACAGATTTGAAGCCTCTACCTTTTGAATAGCACAGTGTATAACTATTGAATTCTCATACACATGTTCATTTTGTAGGTGTGGCTGTATTGCCTTTAATATTAAATAGTGTTCTGTACACACGGCATTTAAGCAAATGCTTCTGTATGTGGAGATATCAGAAGCAGTTATACAGAATCCCAGAATTTCCTGGATTGGAAAAGCCCTTTAAACTCATGGAGTCCAACCATGAACCCAACACTGACAAGTCCCCTATGACTAACCCATGTCCCTCAGCACTGTGTCTACACGACTCTTCAATCCCTCCAGGGATGGGGACTCCACCACTGCCCTGGGCAACCCCTTCCAATGCCTCAGAACCCTTTCAGCAAAGAAATTCTTCCTCACATCCCATCTCAACTGCCCTGGCCACAACTGGAGCCCATTTCCTCTTGTCCTGTCCCTCGGTCCTTGGTTGAACAGACCCACCCCCACCTCTCTCCACCCTCCTCCAAGGGACTTGCACAGAGCCACAAGGTCTCCCCTCAGCCTCCTTTTCTCCAGGCTCAACACCCCCAGTTCCCTCAGCCACGAACTCAGCACACTTGTGCTCCAGACCCTTCCCCAGCTCTGTTCCCTTCGCTGGACACGCTCCAGCACCTCCATGTCCTTCTTGGACTCAGGGGCCCAACACTGAACCCAGCACTCGAGCTGTGGCCTCACCAGTGATTCCCAGTACAGGGAGAAGAGAACTTCCCTGCTCCTACTGGCCACACTAGTGCTGATCCAGGCCAGGCATTAAGAGTTTAAGGGTGGTGTTCACTGCCAGGGCTCGTTACTGCACCATTATTTCTGCCAGTGGTACAGATGTTGTAAGCGTGCTGCCCATTGCTGCTGCTTGAAAACAGAAATATTCTATTTTGTCAGTGCTTGCATGACAAATGCTCTAAATAACACTGGAAGAAAGCTTTCTGAGATGGATTTAATCCCATGCGTGCAGCTTCTCTCTCGTCCCATTTTTCACTTCTTGGTCTGAATAACAGATTTGATGTTCTCTGTGAAATAAACAGTGCACAAGTCCAAGGTCTGGTACACCCATGTTTGATCCTGGGCTGAGGCCAAAAAGCATTGCGCAGCCACCTGGTACTCCTGCAGCTCAGGATCTTGCAAATCATCGTGGTTTGCAAAGGTCTCTCTCTCCCTTTAAAATGATTTGATTTTCTGTTACAGTGTGAAGTATTAACTTCATAACTGCTTGCATGTATTGGGCTATTAATTCACAGCCTGGGGCTAATGCCATCTCACTTTGTCATCAGGGTGGATTAAGGGACATTTTCTCAGCAGCTCCAGAAGTTTGGGATTTAGTTTCCTGAATGCAGCTCCCCTCCAGATGGCACCGACATCAGGAAGTGTGTCTGTCTTGATGCTAATGCTCTGCGTTTGATCCTCGTCATCTCGCTTCTCTCGTAGTTGTCACTTGGCCATGAGGAATTTAAAATACAGTCACTTTTTAAATGGTTTGTATTTGACTTGGTTTAAACTGCTGAAATACTTCTCTGGCAAGCTGGTGGTTTTGACAGCTGTAGCATAGCAAAGTTAAGCTATACATTAGGGTGTCTATAAAAAATTATACTAGAATATATAGTGTTCTGAGAGTGCTAAGAGACAATGTCGATGTTTAAAGCAAATAAAGAGATTTTAAGGTAAAGGACATATTAAAGTTACTGTTTTCTTTATCTTTTGTCTGCAGAGCTATCATTATATCTGGAGGACCAAACTCTGTGTATGCAGAAGATGCACCATGGTTCGACCCTGCGATATTTACAATAGGAAAACCAGTTCTTGGAATCTGCTATGGCATGCAGGTGCTGTTGAGAGATATGTTTGTCTACAGCTGTCTGCAGGCCTCGTTTCTGATCCTAGCTGGAGATGAGCTGCTAAAGGACCTGCTTTTCAAATACAAGCAGTATGCTGCACGTGCAAAAGATACTTTTAAAGTACTAATAAGCAAACTGAGCAGACTGTGTATTTTTCTCTTGGCTCTGCCATATCAAGGGCATAAATGTTTTTTCTTTGCCTAACTGCCATGAATTGAGTTCCACACGGCCTTTTTTTTGTCAGAATAAAAATAACCTGGCAGTCATTAACTAATTCTGTCTAGTTGGTATTGGAAAATGTGCCCCTCATGTAAAAAATTGAAATAGTTGTTCCCTTTGGTTTTCAAGTGTGGCACTACTAGTGTAGTTCTTAAGGGTGCTTTAAACCCTCCCTCCCACAAAATACTGATTTACCTGAGGACTGCCTGCGGATCCTGCAGTGATCTAGTAGATCCACCCTGAGTGAAGAAACAAAGTTCCAAGGAGGGGTGGATTAGGTGCATGACTTCTGCTTGTGCATCTTGTTTTTTTCCAGGGTCAGTGATTTACTTGGCCTTCAGAAATGCTGAATAATGGCTGGAAAAACTCCTTTAGAAAGGCTGGGAATTACGGAAACAATGTTGGCACTCCCTGTTCTGGGGAAAAATGTGTGTCATATTAAAATGTGCCTTAAAATGACAAGCAAATTGAAAGCCATGTTAGGTAGCCTGAAGCAGGGGAGTTCCTTAAGGCTGACTTTATGGAAATGAATCAAGTGTATTTATTAACACACTACTACTTCATTACAGAAGACTGAAATCAGTCAAGCGCAGTAAGTGTAGTGTCAAACTAGGTCTGAAATGAAGTCTTAAATCTCTGAAAATTAAAGTCGTTGTAGGGTGAAACTCTCAAAATACTCTTTTAAGTTACCAGTTATATTTGCAAGGAGAAAAAAAACCCAAAATCTTTATTTTGAGATTTCTGAAATATAAAATGCAGATATCCAACTCCAAATGACAAGGTGAGGTTTTAGAAAGAAAAAACCTGATTGAGAATTGTACTGCTCTAATATAGCAAGGATTATTAAGAGTCGCAAAAATAACACTAAGGGAATAGACTCAAGTTTTTTTGTTCTCTGGAGCCAAGAAGCCAGATTTTGAGAAGTTTAAGCCTTTGACTAAAGGATAGATAAATCAGATTTTTATTCAGCAGCTTAACTGTTTTTATGATCATTACCCTCAGATACTCAGGTGGTTTGCAGAGCAGCTGTTTGGAAGTGCAAGTGGATGTACACCATTGAATATGCTTTATTTTTTGAATCTCTGCATGCTGTCTGCTGTTGTGGATTTCTGCTGCTTGCTGTGTGTGGCAGTGATCCCCAGCTATGCTGGCAGAAGGGGACGAGCCCAGTACAGAGCAACAATTGATTTTAAAGACAATTCTTATCACTTTGCAAAGTGATATGTTAGATGAGTATAATCCTGAAAGACTAGATTGAGGTGTATTGGAGGGCCAGGGCTGTTGTCAGTCGTAGGCAGAGCGAGGTATATAGTGCTACTAGATGGTGTGGTCCTTTTTCATGTCATATCTTTGTTTTGACAGATGATGAATAAGGTGTTTGGAGGGACAGTGCACAAGAAGAGTGTTAGAGAAGATGGAGTGTTCAGCATTACCCTGGATAACACGTGTTCGCTGTTCAGGTACATAGACATTTTCAGTTATCAAAACAGTATTGGAAATACCAGTCTGGAAATTGGTGGCTGGATGAGGAGAAGCTTATTTTAAAGAAAATAGTGAAATTTCACCCATGATTATCTGATAATTTCTAATGAAACTTTTACAGCTGTATTCATGAGTAAGCACATTACTCATTTGAATAAATATTTAGACATAACTTCTCAATTGACTCTAGAAATGCAGGTAGATTTGCTTGGAATAATGTGTAAACCCCTTATTTCAAAGTAGAATGTCTTCATTGAGACACCATAAAATGTACCACAACATGAAAATCTCTGTGTTAAGCTCTTATATCCTTCTGCTGTGCAGTGCATCGCTCTTGTATTGGTTGGCACCCATGCAATTTTTGAAAGGTGAAAGAAAATCTGACACAGTTTGTTTTCTACCTTCCTTTAAAATTGCTTTGTGAGGTTTTATAAAACCAGAATTAGATTTCTTGGTAGTCTGTCAATGCCTCTCGAGTTCCTTGTAATAATTCTAACAGTTTACTCACACCCAGCATTCCAATTTTATTAACTTTGCCCTGTAGGGTTACTGCAGAACTTTATACCCTCCCTAAAGTCTGAGGTGCCCAAATTGTTCTGAAAACACTGTGTTTTGATCAAGAAAACTTAACTTAATTGAAATAAAAAGCAGGACTCCAAATACCCTGATTGATTCTAGATGGCTCTGTGTGTCAAAGAGGGAATACTTCAATATTGATGTGTTCATTAAAAAAAACCCACAAAAAAACCCACCAAAAGCCCCAAAACCAAACCAAAAAACCCCTTTCTGAATTAAAATAAATGACCTCTTGCATGAAGGATGCAAGAGGTCAAGAACTTACAGAACTTACCTGTACAAGAACTTATGCAGCCTCCAACGGAGGCATCTTGGAGTCAGAGATGACTGTTTCTGGGAGGGAAATTCTGCATATATTTCAAATTGACTTGGTCAATCGAGATGTTATTATATTGGGATCCCTAAAGGCTTCTCTTGGAAACACAGGTAGTTAGGTCTTTGTTGTTTTGGGGGTTTTTTTTTTAATTAATTCTAATTTTTAATCTTTGTTTAGGGGCCTTCAGAAGGAAGAGCTTGTGCTCCTCACTCACGGAGACAGTGTGGATAAAGTAGCTGATGGATTCAAAGTAGTTGCACAGTCTGGGAACATTATAGCAGGTATTTATTTTATACTGAAATTGTCCTTTGATAATGTTAATTAAGGGAAAG